TGTGTGTGTGTGTGTGTGTGTGTGTGTGTGTGTGTGTGTGTGTGTGTATTTTCCCCCCTCCATGCACAATTTTCATCTAGCAATAGCCCTGATAGTCACCAATAGTACAGTCCTCATTGAAAGGAAGATAAATTGAATGGGCCTAAAGGTTCTTTTGGTTTTTTAAAATTTGTATGCTAGGTATGAGGGGCATCATTTGTAGATTTGGGGACAATACCAATGACTAGTGTAGCTTTTGCATATAAGGAAGTATATTTGGCATTTGTTTGAAGTTATTCCATGATATCTTCTATAAAGTGATGAGGTAGGTCCAAAAGGAAGTCATGAAAAATGGTAAAAAGTTAGAAAATAAGACAGAAGAAGGGTGAGATTTTCATCAACAATGTTTTGTCTTAGATTTTTCTTCTTGTTAAATAACCTTGGATAGACAGTTTTGTTTACTGTGTTCATATTCGACCTTGATAGGCCTTTGCTATTTGAAGTGGAAATAATTCTGGGATGATTGTGTTACATATGTAATATTGATATGTTCTCATGAGTTTATAGAATAATGCTGTACTGTTCAATTCAGAGACTTCCTTTCACCAAGAATAGACCATGTTTGTCATGTCATAGTCATAGTAGCCATGACTGCTTGGTAAGCTAACTAATAGTGGATGTGTATTTCTGTTTCACAATAAACTGATTAAAGCTAGAAAATTAACATTAACAAATCAGCACTTTTCCAAAAATTTACATATATTACAATTTGTTTTTCTGTGTTACACAGGAAGAATTTAATGGAAAATCTGACTCCCTCTTTTTTAATGATGGCCAGCGAAGAATTGACTTTGTTCTAGTGTATGAGGATGAAAGTAGAAAAGAGACCAATAAAAAGGGTACAAATGAAAAACAAAGGGTAAGTTTTTATGCTATTTTCCTTTCTTTTTATTCCTTATATTCTAAAATGAAAAACTGCTATTTTGTATAAGTAATAAAGTGAAACTGGTGTTGAAATATCATACACAAAACATACTTTCATATTTTCTCTGCTCATGTTCTCTCAAGGCATATTAACAAAACATTTTGTAAATTTGAATCAGGAACTTCCTCGGTCTCTTAACCTCATTTGATTTCACAGCTGAAAGCAGACTTTCTTTCAAGGAATTGGATTTTGTATTGTACAGAAGAGATTTACCTTAAAAGCATGCCTGGCTATTTAACTAGGTGGGATAGGAAGCTAATGATTAATAATGACAAGTGTGATAACAACTAGCTTTCAGTGTGTGCCCACTCAGGTATTGTATATGCATTTTGCATACATGTTCTCCTTTCATACAATATGAGGTGGATTCTATAATCACATCATTTTCTGGCTGATAGAGATGACCCTTAGAGAGATTAGATGAGTATACAAGGTCATGGACTCTAGTCTGGCAAGTGATCAAGCCATGGTTCAAACCCTAACCAGTTAGGGTTAGGGTTAGAGCACAGTTTTTATTTCCACCTCAAACTGTGCTCTTGACCTTGTGTTTTTTCTGTCACCTCCCTTCCCTTCCTTTCATTCATTGCCATTGCCAGTCAAGCTGCTCTCTCTTCCCTCTCCTTTGCACCAAGCTTTTTTTAGGTAAAGGGCTATCTTTATCTCAGGGTATTAAAACAGGGCAGGGTCATGAACAACTCCCTGGAATTTTTTTGCTTGTACCCAAACTGCATTGAACTAAAACAGACCAAAAAGAATGCAAATGTGTGAATGTGTGTTACTTTGACCCACTTTAGAAATCATTTGTCATCGTTTTTTCCTCCCTGTCTACATACATGTACGCGCACGTGCGCGCACACGTGCGCGCGCACACACACACACACACACACACACACACACACACAGAGCTTCTGTCTGGACTGTCTCCTTGAAATATACCACCTTTAAATCTGTTGATTTCTGCCCATTCTTTCAAACCAAGTGATAAAACCTTTTTAAAAATGAAGTAATCAGTACTTTTTTATTCATCTGTTTGTTTCAGAGCGGGTTAAGTTTAGCATTTTATATTTGCATGGTGGAACAGAATGAGCTCAAACTTTGGAACCTGACCTTCAAGTTCTAATTCTGCCACTCTATTGGAGTAATTCTAGTTGTAACAAACAAGCCCCCAGTTGACAGAGGCTTAACACAGTAACAGAGCGTGTATTGTTCACATCAGAGTCAAATGTAGCATCCCTGTTTGGCACATGGTTTGGGGTTGGGCCTCTGTTCTTTGCAGTTATCAAGAAACTCAAGCCTCATAGAGGCTCTGCCATATTCCACAGGTAGACTTCCGGGTCATCCTGAGCATCAACATAGATAAATGGTAAATAGGTTGAAGAAAGTACT